TTGGGAACCACCAGAGGATGAATGGTAATCGAGGACATGGTAGTGGATGTGATTCCCAGAGAGGAGGCACAGAGTGTAACTAAGGAACTGGCAGCTGAGGAGAGAAGCGCAGAATTGAAACTGAGTGTATGCCCTTTCAGACACTTTTACTATCCATATTTCTATATATTCTCTACGTAAAATTAGATGATACTGTAACTAAATTTTTGGCGCCTGATTTAAAATTTTTTTAATTTTCTCCTAAAAAATATTCATTGGAGATACTTCAGAAAATAGAGACTTGTTTTCTAACCCAGATGTGTAGCTTGAATACTTAAAAAAATATTCACAGGGCACCTGGGTGGCTCAGTCAGTTAAGCATTTGCTTAGGTCATGATCCTGGGCTCCTGGAATCCAGCCCCTGCTTTGTTGGGCTCCCTGCTCAGAGGAGAGTCTGCTCTCCCTCTCCCCTCCCCCTGCTCCTACACACCCTCTCTCTCTCTCTCTCAAATGAATAAAAAACTAAATCAATCATTTGGGAAAGGGTATGGCTCTAGGATTGTGGCCATGATTGTGGCAGATCACGGGGACAGGGAGGACCAAGTGTGCTCTCTTTAGAGATGATGGCAGCTCCCGGGAAACCGAGGAAATTAGAAACTGGGAGGACATTTGGTTTTGTTCTCATCTAAAGGTTTTAGGAATTTAAGTGGGTCTACCCCAGTCAAATGTGTTCAAAGGTAATTTTACAAAAATGGAGTATAGTTCTCTTATAAATTGTCACCCAAAGCATAATATTTCAAGACTCAGAAAACTGGCTTTCTTTTTTTAAATTCATATTATAATTGCCTTGTCTCAATAAACATCCCAAGTGTGGGTTTAGCAAATTGCTGTGGTTCAGGCAAATTTTGTGTTTATACCTCTTTTTTGGTTAATTTCTCTGCTAAGTTCCCTTGAAAATGGCTTTTCTAAGAATGATTCTATTTTCAGTGTTATCTTTGTACATTCGATTTACATCACATCCCAGGCTGAAGGTTTTTTCTGGTTTCTCTATTTGAACTGTGGCTCTTCCTTGCCTTTAAACAAGAACTATCTTGCTACCATCCTAGGGTACAGAAAACTAGGATAATGGCCCCTGGTCTGCCCTGCCCTGAGCTGTGGTTTTAAGCAGGATAACAGATATTTATATTTCAGAATGGTGTACTTCCACACTTGACCCTGTCCATTGGGTCCCCCTCAGGCCTTGTGTTAAGGGTTTGGACAATGTGTGTGTTTGCGGATAGGCCTGGGGGGAGGGAGAAGGGAGGTGGGGAGAGCAGGAAGCCCTACTGGAGGGATAAGTTCATCCTTACAGGTTCACGCGCATATAATTCAGTCCACCATTGAGACTGGGCTTAGTGTAACTCTCTGGCCCTGTTGACCATTGAAAGGGTAAGTGTAATGATACAAGATCTTTGTTTGAGCACAGAGTCCCCTGTTTACTGAGCATTTCTAAGTTTGCAGAGTAAAGAACATATTATCAAGTGGGGCAGAATTTCTTTTTGAAAAAAAAAGTGATAATTTCTGTTGGAAAATAATTTCCAAGTAGACCAGATTCTTAGTGTTTGCTGCTCAGAATGTTCTCTCCTTAACATCAATCTCTATCAGAAACCAAATTATCATCAGAAGATTATTTATTTAGTGCTCAGGGAATCAGGGCAAGCTGACTTAGCTAGATGTTGGTGCCATCAAAGGAGAACCTGGTGCATCCATGTCTGCTCTGGGGATTGACTTGTTGCTGAAATCAAATACTTGTATTCAACAGTTAGAGCATTTTTCTCCCTGGACACAAATAAAAATTTTGTCTGTTTGGGTACCCCCTTGACAGAGGTAGAATATCTGTGCATGGCAGTTTTATGACTATAAAGTTGTATTATCAATTACCTTTCATACGGAGTTTGAGAGATGTATACTTTTACAGCAGGAGGAAACTAGTACTTGCAATACATTCTTCCCTACATGTTGATTAGTCTCTCCCTTTTCTGGATTATTTTTGTTGTTGATGTGTTGATGAGTAATGAAATTTGTTATTAAATTTTTCTGAAACCCAAGCAAAATTAATTGTCACCTCTTTAAATTCTTTTTTTCCATTTCCATTTCAGTCTTCTGTTCACTGAAATGTGATTTAACTGTGTTCACACTAATTTTTGTGGCTTTCTTTTGATAAGCTGTAATGACAATCCAGATATAATGACATGGATTCATAAAGCAAAACTTTTAGTTTTTACTTTCTTTTATCATTTAAAATGAGTTAAATGGATTCTCTTTTTGATATTAGAAAAACGGAATTTAGGCAAGAACAAATAAAAGCAACAACATTTAAAATACTTTATAAATCAGAAATCCATTCAAACTGACTTGGACAGTGATTCCTTATAATCAGTTACTATTTAACATCATCAATCTTCGCCTCTTGTTAAGCTGGTCCTTGCAATCTACAGCTGAAAATTGGAAGTATTAAATCGCACCATGTAACCTATGAAAATTCAATAAATTCTGGTTGATTTTCTTCCAATATAAAGGTTAAATCTTTATGTTATGAATATCACAACTTGTGAATGTCTATAAATGTATATTACACATACATGATTATGTTTGTTTAGGTGGATATGGTTATAATCGGGGAAGAATTAAGATATCAGTAACACCCTGGAATTGTTTTTCAACTATTTTTTTAAATTGCTGATAGATGTCACAGATATATTTGTTCAATGTAGAAAGGGGACAAATTAGTGTCTGGGGAAGAAGGCCATAATATAGGCTCTGCATTGGCAGGCCACATTATGCTTCCAGCTGGGCATTTGACTATGAGTTCAATTTTAATCTTCTTTACTGTGTTTTCTTAAACCACAGAAATGACTCATGCCTATTAAAAATTAAAACAGATAAACATATAAAGCAAAATACAAAACTGCCCCCCTTCTCACCCATGTTTACAGTTACCTTACTATTACCAGTCTAATGTGTTCTGTGCATATACAAACATAAATGATATACGTATTCACATTTTTATCAGAAAATGAACTCAGTCCATTGTTCTGTTTTGCAACTTTTATTTCAC